GTGTGATCGTATGCTTCAGGGACCAGCCAAGACTGATCACACTGGTGTGATCGTACGCGTCAAAGGGTTAAACTTAAAAAAAAAATAAAAATCTAATGTTACTCAACTCACCTGTGCTTGTTTGTTCAACTTCAAATATGACAGTTCATTAGAATTTAAAAGAAATTAGAAAAATAATAATTTTATGCAGCAAGGATCTATTAATATTTTTTTCAGAAAGATTTACTTCAGTTGCTATGTACAGTACGCATTACATTCATAGTGTGTGAAATATGATTGTGAGAGTGACTCCAATTGTTATTTTTCTTATTTGCAGTTCAGCCGATGAGCAGTATCACTGGAATACCCAAGGTAAATGTCATATTTTTGTAATGATTTTTGAAAATTTGTTATCAGGTTTAAATATATCTATTGCAATAAACGGGTTTTAAAGTAGCATTTTATAGTATATGCTATTAATTATGATTCATTTAAAAATTAATTGTTGACTATTTTCATTTCCCATTTTTATCAGTTTTATTTATTCGATTTGTTGTTGCAGTTCTAGTGTGCTTACTGTAATCATCTTTAACCCAACACATCGAGGCTATGTCACTTTCATATGTGTCTAAAGAGTGATGAATCCCAGCTTAGCATCCTGCTCTCTGGCCGTATGGGTGCTGCTCCAGTTGAGAGGTTAATCTTATGTCTTAGGGAGCTTGTGTAACCCGTTTATCCCTTGGCAAAGTACACCACACTGACCTTGGAAGATTTGGCAGTCAGTTCTGACACAGAGCAAGCAGCACGCCGATTAACAGGGTCATCCAAAAAGCCAATTAAGTTGGTTCTCAGCCTGTTTGAATGCTTAGTGAGCAGGTGATGGGAAAAGGTCAGGAGGCTTCAGGAAGTATTTGTAGTGTACGAGTGATTAACCTCCTCCCTGTTTATTCCAGATGGACAGAAAGACATTGAGGAGGAACTAAACACAGGTCTGGAACTGGTGGACTCGTGTATCCGCTCCCTACAGGAATCTGGGATCTTGGATCATCAAGAATACACCACAGCTGACAGTGAGTATAGCCATCACAATTGCTTATTTAAAGGGGTCATATGATGTTGGTAAAAAGAACATTATTTTGTGTATTTGGTGTAATGAAATGTGTTTATGCGGTTTAAGGTAAAAAAAACACATTTTTTTTACGATGCGCATCATATGATCCCCCTTTAACTGTTTTTTTTTTTTTTTGGAGTGCCTGAGTTTGCTTTATGTTGGTGTATTGTCCATTAAAGAAACAAAAGCCTAATCCTACCAATTAGCGAAGAGATTTTTGGTTTCAAAAATCAACCATTGGTTTCAACTTGACAACCTGGTTGATGTCTGTGTTCATTTGAAAGGAGCGCATTTACTGTCAATCAACAGGCCAGCACATACTGTATATGAGAGGGTGGGTTTTTGAAAAAGGTGGTGTGTCTATTCAGTGGATGGGTTCCTAAACAGCAGCTGTAATATTGACAATGTATATGGTAACTGGTGCATCAAGGAATTTAGTGCTAGTTATTGCAATAATATGAAAGTATTTCCAGAAAAAGCCTTTAGGCAAAAAAGGGGAATGTTGACTCTGTACACAATTGCAGAACATTTCTAATCTCAAAAATGGCACAGTTGTTCTAATTATGTTTGAAAAAATGTCTTTGTTCTTTCCTCTTACAAGGTGCACCAATATATTTCGAATATGTTGCTTGAAAATTGTGAAAGGAATAATATTTTTCTGCAAACATGCATTTTGGAAGTTTTCCATTTATTGAGCAATCTAATGTACTGATGCAAAAACATCTAACATGCAAAATAATATATAATAATATAATATAAATTAATAATAATTTAATACTTGTAAAGTACTGAATTAGAAGATAGCTGAATAATGTGCAGAAATTTTAACCATATCTCCTTGACACATTGAAAGTCAGGAACCTGCATTTTTCACATCTATAACTGTAAAAAGCAACCGTTTGTCTCACTTTGTATCTGCATTTTGAACGTAACTGAGAACATCTGTCGAGATTAATGTTATGTACATTGCTTATGTTCTGATAATTAAGCTGCCTGTTATGTTGAGCATTGCACCTAAAGCGTTTTATTTAGGGATGGTAATAACTTTTATTTTTGTCATTTTTGTGAAACTACATCTGGCTGCATGCCATGTTAAATTAAGACAGCAGAACTGGAAGATGTGTGCCAGGACAAACGGACAGAAGTCGGTTGTTATAAATATACTTAGAATTGTGGTCTGTTGTGGGCAAATAAATATCCATTGTATGCAAATAATACCCGATAAAGAGATAATTCACCCAAAAAATTAAAAGTCTGACAACTACTCACCCTCGTGTAGTTCCAAACCTGTTTGACTTAATTTATTTTGCAGAACACAGGAGAATATATTATACAATGGAAATCCAATATTGTTTGGACCCCAACATTCTTCAAAATATATCCTTTTTCAGAAGAAAGAAATGTACTGTAAATAGTGAGAGTGAGTAAATGATGAAAGAAGTTGACTTTTTTTTTTTTGGTGAATTCTTCTGCATGTTTGGCCTTCCCTGACAGTAAAATGTAGCATGTGACAATTTTCCAGGTTTTAGTGAAAAAACAATTCAAATGTAGTTTGTTCCCAGGCATGAATAATAATAATAATAATAATAATAATAATAATAATGGAGAACACTGTAAAAAAATGCTACTGCAATTAGTTACAGTATAACAACTTAAAAATTGTTGAGATAACTTAAATATTAAACTAAAGTTATCTAAGTGTATATATTTAATTCAAGCTTGAACAACTTGACACAACACATTACTTATTCTAATGTTGAATTTTAAGTTGTTATAATTATTTGCAGCAATCATTTTGTACAGTGTAGGATTTACTTCTCAAACAACTTTCACTCAGAAATTGCTAGTAAATTTCACTAATAAATACAAAGAAACAGCAAGTAACAAATTACGTGAAATTTTGAAATCAAGAAAGACTGAAGTAGTGTTTTATTTACAACTTTGAAAAATTATTTTTACACGTTGTTTGTCCAGTACAATCTGAGTATCGTCCTGACTTTTCAGCATGTTTTTGGAGTGTTTTTTTATGATTAAAAATAAGATGATAGTTGATGATGATGTACGTTATGTGCAGGATTGACTAGAATTCATAAATCTCTGAATGTCAGCATGTTTTTTCTGTGATAAAGTATAAATTTATCACCCTTTCCCGCATTTCACCTTTTCTCTTCTTTTTTTTTTGTTCTTTTTGGCAGAGATTAAGAATAAATTGGCTTAAGCATCTGTTTTATGGAGGATATATTACTTCAACGAAAACTGTCTTAATCGCCTCCCAGAAAGTTGCATGTCATTAATCTTTTTTCAGAGTTCAAAGTGCTTTTAAATAAGTTATTGACTTGTTAAGGTCGGTGATAAGAGAAAAATGCCACAGGTTTTTGTAATCCAATTCCAGCTTCAAAGTCGAAATAATCAAAACAGATAACGCCTCGGCTGAATAGACATCCCTACCACAAGATTCTCTGGGCTTCAGGCATTAGAATAGCACAGCCGAACATAACAGTCCATGAATTATGTATTGAAACTAAGTATATTTACTATAACGGGCTGAAATTACAGTGAGCTCTAACGTTTCGCTAAGGACAGAGTGGCTTTCAATAATTTATCTGATAGTGGGGTGAGTCGAGATAAAGTAGCTGGAGCGCTGTGGAGGTGTCTGATGTGGACATGCTTTTACGTATTATCTGACGCCCAACAAACATTGGCCTCTGTGATCCAAAGGCTTTATTCTTTGAATGGAGCTTGTCCCCGACTCGTTCAGAATACATTAGTGATCTAAGCATTACAGGAATAAGAAAAAGACTGATGTTTTGAAGGCATCGGTCTCAGTGCCTGCTATGTGTAATGTCAGCCTTTAATTTCTTTCCATAGGTTTCATTTGATTGTATTATATATCCATGTCGCCCTTTTTCTCGTACTGAGTCAAAGCAGCACGATGATTCCGCTCTTGTGAGTCTTGTAAAAGAATATAAAAAATAGATCCCTCACGAAATGTTTCATCATATAGGAAGCAAAAAATTAGAGTTACAGCCTCTGGTGATATTTTATATAATAGTCCAACAGTCCATGCACTTCCGTGATGGGATTATATATTTCTAGTACAAGTTTATTCCATCCATTGGTTAACTTAACAGCCTGGCATTACGTGAAATGTTGTCAAGCACCTTCGTGATACCATGGCAAGTGACACAACTGTAATTTATCCAATTTTCCTCCATTGTCTATTGCATCTGACTATTCAATTAGTAATTTCCGGGGGGAATTTGGCTTCATCTTGCTAGGCGCAGATTTCACAGTCAGTTAACCATTGATTATCTTACAGACAGTTTAAACAAAACACAAAGTATTTGTTATGTACTTGTGAAATATAAAAGGTTATCAGTAGGCTGCTTATATTTTGATGATAACTATATGATATACTAATTTGTAATTGTATTGTGTTAACTGAAATTTTGTTTGGAGAAAAATGATACATAATTTGATACGGATTTTTTTTTTTGGCCAAATTCCCTATTTGCACCATGGTTACATTAGTAGTTTATGAGTAATTAAAAATATCACTAGTTGAATCCAGTATCACAGCGAACATGCTGTTAGGCACACTCCTTTATTAAAAATCAATTCAATATTGGTATAATTATTAAGCAAATTAAAACAAAGGCACATTGCCTTCAATATTTTTTCTTCTTCATTTAGGTAAGCATTGCTTAATTTAATTATTGAAGTAAACAATCAGCAATAATTAACAAAGAAATAAATTAAAAGGAGTGTTTTTTGTTGTTGTTGTTTTTCTTATTAATATTTTATTTTTATTTATTTATTTTGTAAATATTCTTATTGACAGCATAATAGACTGTAACAGGGATAAAAGGGGTATTTCTGTATTATTTGCTCAGTATTCATTTACTCCCCCTTTTGTTGTTCCAAAACTGTTTGCATTTCTTTTCTTTTCTTTTTTTCTACTAAACACAAAAGAAGATATTTTAAGAATGTTCCAAAAGTAGTTTCATATTGACTTCCATTGTATTTTTTTTTTTACTCATACAATGTAAGTCAATGGGAACCAAAACTGTTTGGTTACCAGCATTCTTACCAGCAAGTATTTTCTTTTATGTTTCACAGAAGAAAGAAAGTCATACAGGTTTGGAACGACATGAGGGTAAGTAAATGATAAGACAATTTTCATTTTTGGGTGGACTATCGCTTTACTGCACATATATACAATATTTCGCCTTATTATTTAGTTTTGACTTGGTATCAGTTTTATGGTACTAATGGTTTCATTTGGAAAAAGAAAAGACTTATTGACAGTCTAATTGACTGAGACATGGGAAAACGGCATTCATATGAGCACCTCACCAGAGAAGCTTTTGAAATCCGTGAACCTGGTGTTTGCAGGACTGTACATTGGGGATGTGTGATTTATTCTGTATGATACAGCGTGCAGCGCTGCTTGGCACTTTGGTGTTCGGGTTTCAGCAAGGCTGCTTTACATGTATGGAGGTATTATCCTTAGTTAAACTAATCCAGCCGCTCCATTTCAAGGAGGCGAATGAGAGCGCTGTGGATTTCTTGGGCAAGCTTGACTGAGGATGGGGGAAGTCAGATGTGTAAGAGCTGTGTAAGTGTCTTACACTAGGTGAGGAGCTATATTTAGTGTCACTGCTGTGATGCTGTAGCTTCAGCCCCTTTAGACATGCTGCTTCAAATGAGAGAATGATTCCCAGGAGGCTAAAATATAACATGCACAAAAATGTACATACAATATGCATACAAAAGAGAGGGAACACGCACCACAGTAGAACATTAGCATGAGTGACAGTGATATATTGGCCTGGCTGATTGTTAGTCATTTAATCATCAATGCTGGCCAATTACACTGACCTCGTGTTCAGTGAACAGAAATGGTAGTTCACCCATGTCAGTTCCAAAGTCTACTATTATTATTATTTATTTATTT